TGAAGAAAAGCTATTTGAAATTATTCAGTCAGAGGAGAAAAACGAATTTAAAAAGTGAATTCTTCATGAATTATGAAATACTATCAAGAAAACAATATTCACATCAGGGAGTTCTAAAACAAGAACGAGGAAAGAACAAAAGGCCCATTAAAGAAATAATGGCTAATTATTCCTGGATCCGAACAGCAATATGGACATCCAAGTACATGAAATTCACAAGTCCCCATACATATTCAGCCCAAAGACCACTGCAATAAAAACTATTAATAATCAAAGACAACATAACTTTGAAAGCAGCAAAAGAAACTTTTTCATACAATGTAATCTTCATAAGGCTATCACCAGATTTCTCAGCAGAAACTTGGTAGACCAGAGAGAATGGGGTGATATACTCAAAGTGCTTAATGAAAAAAAAAATGCCTGCCAAACAAAAATATGTAACTCAGAAAATTTGTCTTTAAGAAATGAGAACAAGATAAAGATTCCCAGACAAACAAAATCTGTGGAGTTCATCACCACTATGCCTGTCTTACAAGACATGGATAAAGGGAATCCTTCAAGCTGAAGGATACTAATTAATAATATAAAAATATTAAATTATAAAACTCACTGGTGAAGGTAAATGTAGTCAAATTCAGAATATTCTAATAACAGTTATGTGTAAATCACTTACCTCTAGTTTAAAAGCTAAAAGACACAATTATTAAAGATAAGTAGTGCTACAATAATTTCTTAGAGGATGCAAAATTTAAACAGATGTAAATAATGACATCAAAACATAAAAGGGAGGAGCAAAAGGGTACAGTTTTTGTGTGCAATGAAAGTTAAATTGCTGTATGCTTAAAACAGACTATTATATCTCTAAGAAGTTTTATGTAAAGTTCATGGTAACCAGAAAGAAAAAAAAACTATAGTAGAAGAAAGAAAAAAGAGAAAGTACTCAAAACATACCATTGTGGCAAATCATCAAATCACAAAAGAAGACAAGAATAAAAGAACTAAAAAACAGCCAGAAGCCAGGCACTGGTGGCTTGTGCCTATAATCCTAGCTACTTAGGAGGCAGAGATCAGAAGGATCACAGGTTGAAGCCCACCTCAAGCAAATCGTTCATGAGACCCTATCTCGAAAAAAAAAAACTCATCACAAAAACAGGGCTGATGAAGTGGCTCAAGTGGTAGAGCACCTGCCTAGCAAGCAGAAGGTCCTGAGTTCAAACTCCAATGTAGCAAAAAAAAAAAAAAAGAAAAAAGAAAAAATAATTAACAAGATGGCAATAATAAGTCCTTACTTTAAATGTAAATGGATTAACTTCTCTAATCAAAAGACATGGAGTAGTCAAATGGTGGAAAAAAAAACAAGACCCAAGTATATATACTGCCTGCAAAAAACTCACTTGAGCTTTAAAAACATATTGGGTCTGGGAATGCAGCTAAATGGTAAAGAACTTGAACAGAATGCATAAGACTCTGGGTTTGATCCCCAGCCCCCCCCCACCACACACACACACACACACACACACACACACACACACACACACAAGCTTATATCCCAAGCAAATGGAAACAGAGATGTCAGACAAAATAGCCTTTAACTCAAAAACTGTAAGAAGAGACAAATGAGATCATTATATCATGACGAAGGGGTTGATTTATCAGGAGGATATAATAATTACATATAATTATATATGCACCTAATCCAGAGTCCATAAATATATAAAGCAAGTATTAATAAATCTGAAGGGAGAGAAAGATTATTAATACAACAATAGTGCCTAACTTCAACACACTACTTTCAACACTGAATAAATCATTAAGACATGAAATAATAGGACATCATGGGACTTAAACTATACCTTAAACCAAAGGACCTAACAAATATATACAGAGCATTCCATTCAACAGCAGCAAAATACAAATTCTTCTCAAGTATACATGTACATTCTCTAGGATAAATTATATGTTAGGCCAAAAACAAGTCTTAAAAAATTTATGAAATTGTATCAAGTATGTTTTCTGACCACAGTGTTATGAAATTAGAAATCAACAGCAGGAGGAGATTTGGAAAATTCACTAGTATATGGAAATTAACAATTTGCTTCTGAATAATCAATAGGTCAAAGAAGAGATCAAAAGGGAAATTAAAACAGTATCTTAAGACAAACAAAAGTGGAAATATAATATACCAAAACTTATAGAATGCTGGAAAAGCAGTTCTAAGAGGAAAGTTTGTAATAAATACCTACATAAAAAGAAAGATCTCAAATAAACTAACTTTATGCCTCAATGAAGTAAAAAAAAATCCCAAGGTAAATTCAAAGGTAGCAGAAAGTAATAAATAATAAATATTAGAGCAGAAATAAATAAACAGAAGGCCTGGATGTGTGACTCAAGTGATAAAGTTCACAACCCTAGCAAGCGTTCAAACCCCAATATCACCAAAAATAAATAAACAAAATAGAACACAAAAAAACAATTTTACAAATTAACAAAGTTAAGAGTTGCATACCAAAAAGCAAAAAGACAACTATTAAATTTTGAGAAAATATTTGTGATACTTATCAAAGTTATAATATCCATAATAAATAAAGAACTTTTAGAAATTTGAGGAGAGAAATAAAAACCTGATAGAAAAAAAATTACTTGAATTTTCAGTTTACACACACACAGCACACACACAAGATTTTAAAAGGGCCTTAAATATATAAAACATGTCACAGCCTCATTTCACTTATTCGTCCTCTCGTGCACTGTCTCTTGAACATTTCAAACTATTTCTCTGCAGAATTCACAATTGTTTATTCCATCTTAAATTCTCTCCCTACAACTTTAGCCAGCCTCTTCTCATTCTTCAGGTTTTTGCTTAAAAACCACCTCCTCAGAAAAGCCTTCTCTTTTTTTTTCATTTTTATTGGCATATATTCAATGATTTCTAGCCAAAGTACTATTCATCCCTTGATCACAGTGCACTTTTTATTTGCTTCAGAACACAGCACAACCTGTACTGTCTGTTGATTTTGAATGTTTGCTTCTCAAGTGAAGGTGTGTTGCCTGCTTGTCCACCACTGTATCCTCCTTGTCTAACACAAAATTTAGCATATATTTCAAAGAACAGGTATAATAAAAGAAATGACAGTTTAGAAAACACAATACTAGGTTTCAGTATTAAAGAAGTAAAACCATAAGTGTAAAGACAAAGTCCAAATACAAAACTGCAGTGAGCTGCTGAAAGGAATTAAGGAGGTTCAAAGACCTGATACTAAGATATGGTGTAGGTTATCCATTTTGTTTTTGTTTTGCTTTGTTTTGTTTTGAGATTGAGTCTTGCCATGTTGCCAGGTTGGCTTCAAACTTAAGAGCCTCCTGCCTCAGCCTCCCAAGTGCTGGGATTATAGGTATCTGCCATCACTACTATTTCACTTGAAATAGTTTTAAATTTCAGCATTTCTATGAAAGACATAACCTACATTATCTGTCACTCTAAGTACTGTCTCTAGCTATTCCTTCCAATTTTCTTTATAACCTACATTTAATTTAAACCATCATTTTTTTAAAAATCTCTTTGAAACTTCTAGTCACTTATCCCTCCTTTTGTTTTCAGCCAATTCATCCAATTTTTCTGGTTCTACTTGCTTCCTTCTCTATCCTACACCCTCAATCTATGATCCCCACACCATTTTTTTGCTCTTTATAGTGATTCTTAAGCATGAGTCTAAAAATCACTTGAAATAGTTTTAAATTTAAGCACATTACTGTTAGACCCACCCTTTTGATTTGGAAGTCTATGGTGGAGGCCCCAAAATCTTTTTTAATGAGCACCCTAGAAGAATGGATATAGATGACCCAAGAATTAAAAGAAACACTGGTGTGGAGCAAGTTCCATTAATAATATCATATCCCAGTCAGTGAATAATGAAGAGCCAGCTACTTTTATGTGGGAATTTTTTTTTTATATATTAAAAAGGAATTCTCATCCTGGCTATATGGGAGGTGTATATAGGATTCCAGTCAAAAAAAGTTTATGGTGCTATCTTAAAAACTAAAGGAAAAAGGGCTGGGGGCATGGTTCAAGTGGTAGAGCTAGACAAGCCCAAGGCCCAGAGTTCAAACTTTTATACTGCCAAAAAAAAAAAAGTGGGGGAAGGGTTCCTCATACTCAAAACAATATTGAAAATTACCATTCCATAGACCAAAGTCCCAATTCCTGAAGTTGATCACAACAAACACTTCCATGACCTACAGACTTCAAGAACACCCCTCTCACAAACCTTTTGATTTTTTCTTAGTTTTATCCTACCATGCTTTCAACTTGTCAAAACAATGCTTTAAGAGTATGGTAAGGTTTTTTTTTGTTGTTTAAATTAGAAGGGTATCTTAGAAATCAAGTACTTCAACTTCTTCATTTTACACAGAAGGACCTGATCTTTTTACATACCATTTGTTTCCTCATAAGTAGTTTTATCTGCAATATTTCTTAATAACTTAAGACCAACAGAAAACATAAAATGTCCTAATAATCCTCGGATAACCTTTAAAAAGTAAACATTTACATCTTCACGATCTAGTGGTACCACTAAAAGGTACCACTAAACTCAAGAGTTACAGGAAGCCTTTGCAGAAATGATGGAGACACGCTTCTCCAGGTTCATTATTTAAGAACTGGAGTAATGAAAACAAAGTTCACTAAAGCACCTGGAGGTTATCCACATAAATGATGGCAGCTGCTAACATTTATTGACTGTAAAAGCACGTAATGTCATTATCCCCTTTAGTTCTCCTTCTAAGGTAGGTAGTAATTGTCTTATTTATCGGCTACTGGAACGAGGGCAGGAGGAGTTGGGTAGTTTCTAAGGTCCCACAGGTAAACCCTTCCAGGCATCACCAGCACCTCCACTTGGGGGAGGTCTCCCTCGGACCCTCGCCCGGCTCTCCAGGTGGTCGGCAGGGGGCGCGCTCCACTGGCCCCAGCCCCTTTGCCCCGAAGCTGGCCCACCACCACTCACGTTCAGCAGCCGGCTCCCGGTGCTCTCCTTGTCCTTGTCCTTGCCTTGGTCCTTGGCCAAGAGATTCTTGCTCTGGTCCTGGGAATACCGGACGGAGGAAAAGTCGGACACCTTGGTGTGCATGGTGTCCCGGCTGGCAAGGGGACCCTTGTTTAGCGCAGCGGATGTGAACAAGGAGTGGACCCGCTCGCTGCGGTTTTGGTTACGTTGGAAAGCCTACGAGGTTCTTGTGGCAGCTCCATGCCTGCATTCCCGCCGAGCCCGTCTGCGCCCAACCGACGCCTTGGCCACCGCCGCCCTCCGCGCTGCGCAGGCGCAGTCCCCGCCCTCGCGGCGTTTCCCGCGCGCCCAGCCGCGCACGGCCCGCGTGGCGCCTGGGCCTCGGCGGGGCGGACCGGAGAGCGAGCCCCAGAGGCTGGAGAAGGGCTGGGCCGGTGGCCTGCGGTGCGCGCGGGCCCTCCCTGCACCATCGCCGTGCTTACACGTGTGACAGCTCCAACGGTCGCTTGAACGCGACCTGACTCTTCCACAGACACCAGACACATTGATGTCTTCACCTTCCCTCCCAAATCTCTACTACACTCCCAACTCATTTGAGTAGTAATGTCACATCCACAAAACCTAAAATTCCTAACCCTTCTTTTTCTCCTTACAGCGCCTACTTTGGGACGCCTCTCAGGCGGAAGACCAATGGTTTACTGGTCGGTCTCCCAACCTCATCCATCCCTTCACTGCTCAGTGTTAATGCAGTTTTACCATTACAGCAAAGCAAACCCAGGAACTTCCAGACGCCTGTATTGGCCACAAAGTTTAAACTTCTTAATACGGAAGCTGAGAGCCTCCAAAATGCACTTTCCTACCTCAGAGTCATTATTTATTACTATTATATTTGGAATCTAGTCTTCTTTTAGCCAAGGCTGAAAAGTCAGCTTGCAGTTAAGTCTTACAACCCCATTCACATACCCCAATAGCTGTCTCCAAACTACCATTAGTGGGCTCACACTATTGGTTGTTAAACCCCAAAAGTAGAGTTCTTTCAGGGCAAGGACCTGATCCTCACCTTTCACTTTCAGGGTACATGGTACAATATCCCAAAATACCTTAATACATATATGTTGTCATTTGGGGGCCTATGCTGCATGGCAATTTTTCTGTTTGTTTTTTGCTGTGCGGAGGTTGAACTCGGGGCCTCGTGCTTGCTGGGCAGGAGCCCTACCACTTAAGCCACTCTGCCGGCCTTATGCTGGGTGGTATTTAATCACTGCATCAATGAGACTTACCATCTATCAGTTCACTCTAACTTCCTTAGGGTTCGTGTTCAACATAAAGTATATAGCAGCACAGATGAGGTTAATAATTTTTAAAAATCTAACCTAAATTTAATCAAACTTTGAAACCTATGCTCCAGTCTACCGAAAATCCAGATTAAGAAACAAATGACACTATGACAGTCTAAAATGTAAAACAAAACTGGCTTGGACTCTTCAAAACAATTGTCATGGAAACGTATACAGCCAACTCTAGAAAATTCTGCAAAAACTAAACATGTAACTACCATACAACCCATCCCAGGGAAAGGAAAACTAATGTTCATGCAAAATCCTGTACACAAATGTTCATAGGAGTTTTATTTGTAACAGCCAGAAACTTGAAGTCAGTCTAGATGTCCCTCAACTGGTAAACAAATTGCAGGACATAGTACCTTGGAATACTACTCAGCAATAAAAAGGAAGGAACTGTTGGGTGGGGCAGCACACACCAGTAATCCCAGCAATTGGGAGAGGGAAGTAGAGGATCAGGAATTTGAGGCTACGTAGTGAATGTGAGGACCTGGCTAGGCTACATAGTGAGGCAGTAAAAAGGCTAATCCCAAAAGATTATATACTGTATGATTCAATTTATAGTATTATTCAAATGACAAAAAACTATGGGTAGAAAACAGATAAATGGTTATCAAGGGTTAGATTAGGAGCATAGGAGAGGGGCGAAGGAAGGAATGAGTGTGGTTAAAAAAGAGTAATATGGAAGATTCTTGAAGTTTTTTTAACTGTTCAGTATTTTGGTTGTGGTGGCAGATACACAGACTAAGTACGCTCATGGTAAAATTAAATAAAACTTAAAACACACACAGACAAGTACAACTGAGAAAAATCTAAATAATCTGGGTGGGTTGTATCAATGTCCATGTCCTGGTTGTGGGTCAAGCGAGGTGGTACACAGCTGTGATCCTGTCACTTGGGAGGTTGAGGCAGGATCACAAGTTCCAGGGCAGCCTGGGCCACACGCTGAGACCTGTCTCAAAAAATCCAAAAAATAATGAATAAATGATAAATTTTAAATCCTAGTTATAAAATTATATTTTGCAAAATACTGACACTGTGTACAAATGATCGCTCTATATTATTTCTTAAAATAACTTTTCATTAAAAATGAAATGGAGGACTGGGGGAATAACTCGTAATAGAGCAGGTATCTAGCATGTATGAGGCCTGGGGTTCAATCTTCAGCACCAAAACAAAAAAAAAGACATGGATGGAAAAGAGGTAGGGAAACAAATTTCAATTGAGAGACAAGAAACAACCAAATGGAATGTGTAAACCTTCATTACACTGACTAGAGGAACAAGTATGAAAATTTGAGAATGGGCTGAGTATTAGATATCATGGAATTAACTGTTTTCCATTGTTTTAATGATACTGTGCTTACATAGACAAATGTAATTTTTTGGACATGCATGCTGAAATACTCAGGTGAAATGTCATGGCGTTAGCAACTTACTTTCCAAAAGTTTGAAAGAGAAAAAGGATGTACAATGAAAAAGCAAACAAGGCAAACACTTAACAATGATTACATTTAGGTTGGCCTAGACTAGTTACAATTATACTGTCTTTCAACGTTTTTCTTTGATAATTGCCAAGTTGAAAACCCTCAGAGTTAACTCATCTTTATGGTCTTATTCTCGTTTCCCATCTCTATCATTTGAAAATCCATTCATTCTATAAAGCACCTGCTCACATCACACCCAGACTGATTCACAATTCTTTCCTAAATTCTTCCACTCCTACCCCTATCTATGTCTAACGAGACTGTAAGCTTCTAGAACAGATACCATGTTCTATTTATTCTCTCCTGCTCCCCCGCCATAAACAAAGACCACATCCTTACAGATTCAATGAAGCTCACAGGATGACTTCAGAATGGTCAATGGATTCATAATTCTGAGACAGCAGGGGAATTCCTGTTCAGCAGCTCTGGCCTTAGCAATTTGCCAGTTTCTCACTGACACCATTCCCTGCTTCCTGGAGATATTCATTTGCAGTGAATTTAAGTTTTCTAATCATGATCAGAGGAATCTTCAACCACACTGTTGGGTTTTCTGGTGATGAAGGCTGTGTACCTGTCTACCAGCTGCTCAGGGTTTATATACCTGCTGGAGTCTTCAGGAGATTTGAAGCATAGTATTTCCCAGAGCAGAAAGAATTCAAAGGCAATAGTGCCAGTGCCGGTTATGATACCACTGACATAGCCAGCTTTCCCAACTGCAATCTGCAGCAGCACAAGGCTTCTTTGTTCTCTAGGCTATTAGAAAACTTAGCAACCTAGACAACATGTATGTGCTATCTTAAATTTCTATATATAAAGTCTGACAAGGATATCACTAGGCTAAAATCAAGGTACCACAGAGTTACAATCCTTCCTGGAGGCTCTCAGGAAAGATCAGGTCTCTTGCTCATCTGGGATGTTGGCAGAATTCAGTTCCTTCCAGCTATGGACTGATACCCATTTTCTTGCCAGCTGTTGGTCAAAAGTCATTCTCAGTCCCTAAGGTCATCTGCATTCCTTGGCTCATGGCCCTCTCCTCCATCCTTAAAGCCAGCAACATCACAACTCTCTAGCAGCTCTTTTTGGCCACAGACATGAAAGGCTCTGTGTTTTTAAGGAATCATAAGATTACACTGGTCCAGCTGGATAATACAGGATATTCTCATTTCAAGTTTCATACTCTTGAACCCATCTGCAAAATCCTTTTTGCTATGTAAAGTAATATATTCACAGGCTCCAGAAATTAGGACATGACATCTTCAAGAGACATTATTCAGGCTACTGCAGTCTCTGACATTGGCAGCAGTTTTCCCATATTTCTCCTTGATGACACTTCAGGTGTGATAAGCCTTGGCTCTAGGACAAGCATGGCTTCCCTGTCATTTGCTGACAGGGAGGATCATGAACTCCTACACTGATAGTTAACTAGCATGAGAACCATGACCAGTAATAGTGAAAGCTGCAACCAGCAGGATGACTTCAGAATTGCCAATGGATTCATAATTCTGTGACAGCAGATGGAACTCCTGTTCAGCTGCTCCGGTCTTTTGGACAGCAAAAGATATTCCTAGTGTGGTGCTTGCACTAAATGTAGACCAGTTCTCTGAGCCACCCATCTATATGCCAATCTTCTGTTCCACAATATTCAGTTGCTTACTAATCAGGGCAGGCCCAATAGTTGTATTGATGTGTTCAGCAGCCTTCAAGATACTTCTTCCTACAGCAAGTGTTACTGTTGTCTTGAGTTGTGGGGTCTCACAGATGGCAGCTGAGAGATCACTGGATACAGCGCTGAAGACACCTTTTCTAGCCCAGGACCTGCCTCAGGACTGGGATTTCTAGGAAAGCCAAAGATCTCTAACAAAGAGTCCAAGAATAGGTAAGGTGAATTTCTAATCATATTTCTTGTCACTCCAAAAAGAAACAGAAGGGGTGGGATGTGGTTCAGTGGCAGAGCACTTGCCATGAGACTCTGGGTTTGATCCCCAACACTGCAAAAATAAAAAGAAAGGAAAACCAACCAATTGGGAATGTTAGCCTAATAAGCTCACAGATCTCCTGAGCTCTTGACTGGCTCAGCTACTATTTATTTATTTTTGGTGGTACTGAGGTCTTGCTAACTTTTTGCCCCTGTTGGTCTTGAACTGCAATCCTCCTTATCTTAGCATCCCTAGATCTAGGCTGGGATTACAGGTACCTGGTTTCTGCTATTCTTTTGCTACATATGATTTTTAAAGCTCCCAAAATCATTCTGATGTGCCATCCAATATGGGAATCACTGATAAAGATTTTAAAGGGAAACAAACTTTTTTTAATAAAGTATTTCAAACAAAACCATGTATTTCAGGTTTATTAGTCAAAAAGTAAAGCATCTTTCAAGCTGAATTACATAATTATTACATGACACACAAACACTAAGATTCAGAAAAGACAAATTTAGTATTTCAATTTGTTCAGTAAAGAAACAACAAACATAAATAATGAAGGCCTTTTTTCCCTTCTACCCTATCCTCTAAATTTATATATAAACTTGGTATGTATTTTATCAAATAATCGAAAATGTAGGGGACACATACAGAAGGAGGACCTGTAGCTAACATTAGCTATAGTTATGGCTTTTTGTGAATTAGGGCTTTTTAAGATAATGATTATGAATAAAACTAATTTAAGAGAACAAGAAATAAAAACTTTTACCTGTCTCATCTTTTATCATTAAAATCATAATGCTATAGAAATTAATATTTGGGTATGAATAGCACATACAATTTAAACATTATCCATAATTTTGAGAAACTTTTCAGTATTATGTAATAAAAATGAATTACAAATATACATACTCATATCTTATAAAAATACATTTAAAAATAAAAATGGAAAAAATACTGGGAGAAATTCCTCTGGAGGTCAACTGACACTACGAAGAGACTTGAATTCCTTTATCAGGATATTCTTCCATATCAGAGAACAACTCTGCAAGAAAAAAATGAACAGATCATATTTAAAATGTTTTCCCAATGTCTCAAAAAGTTCTAATGATTAGTTATGAACAGTCTCTTGAAATATTGACATAATACACAGTAACAGATAGCCCTCAAGCACAAGAACTCTGGACTGAGGGGCATGGCTCAAGTGGTAGAGCACCTGCCTAGTAAGCACAAGGCCCTTGAGTTCAAACCCAGTACCAACACAGAAGAATTCTTGGCAATGAAATCTGATTTGAAAGATAAGCTAATAACAAAGTTGTATGTTTTTTACAATATTAAATGTTCATTTTAAATTTTTTATAAATCCCTGAAAAATAAAACATATATAATGAAGACAATGTAATAAGTCTTACCAGGAAATGTAAGTCACTTGGAGAACCTAGATCATTAAATGGCTATAAAGTCTAATTTTATAGTGATCAAATAATCAAAAATGTAGGGGACACATACAGGACTTGGAGCTAACATTAGGTGTGTACTAAGATATCTTAAAAGCGTTATTCCATTTAACCATTACAGCAACCCAACAAGTTAAGCACTGTCCTCATTTTGTATTTACTTTATTTATCCATATGTAGATAAAATGTTGCATTTCTCACATATCCCTAAAAAAGAGTGAGTTTCTGGAAATCTTCACTATATGCAATAAACACTTTGCAATTTAGACACATCAGCAAGATGCAGCCTCACCCCACCACAGCACAAAGTATTAGTTGACATTTTTGTAATTATTACTTAGCACAGACATAATTTATTAAAATGTGTGTGTGTGTGTATAAAGCAAACCTTAAGATTCTAGTAAAGGTCTAGGGGCATGGCTCAAGAAGTAGAGTACTTGCCTCCAAGAACAAAGCCATAAATTTGATACCCAGTACTGAAAAAAAAAAAAAAGTTTTGCTGTCATGGTGGTACATACCTGCAATCCCAGCTATTCAGGAGAAAGGGAGGTGGGGATAATTGTGATTCAAGGCCAATCCAAGCAAAAAGTTAGTGAGACCCCTATTTCAACAAACAAGCTAAGTGTGGTGGTAGGTGCCCAAAATTTTAGCTATATGAGAGGTGTATGTAGGAGGATTTGGGTCCACAGCCAGCTCCAGACCAAAAGCACAAACCCTATCTAAAAATAAATCAAAAAAGAAAAAAGTGCTGAGGACATGGCTCAAGTGGTCGAGTGCCTGCCTAACAACTATGAGACCCTAAGTTGAAAGCCTAGTTTTTTTCCCCCCAAAAAATCTAACAACATAAAGTCCTCTGATGTAAATAATTAGATGGAAAAATTCTTTGAATAACCTAACACTATACTGAGAAAAACAGCAAAATACGTAAAGTCTAATATTTAAAAAAACAAACATGAGAATTATAATGCAGAAAAGAACATTTAATGAATTTAAATACACAAGGAAATTACACTCTTTGTCTTGTTTCTGTTTGTTTTTGTCTCCCAGCGTGTCCCAGGCTGGCCATGAACTCATGATCTTCTTGCCTCCACCTCTCAAGTTCACAGGCATGTACCACATTTGACTATCTTGGTTTTTATAAATGGAAATGTTGGGAAGATTCCCCATTCTAAGACTTCTGAGACATACAGGTTATAATTAGTTGATAAAATCAAAAATAAAATAATAACCAAAGTTTAGAAAATACTCACAAGAAAGATTCAGGGTGAAAATGTGAAATACATGGCAAGAAGAAACAATGCACAATACAAACACTAAGCAGTTCCTAAAGCATTTGCTCATGGCCAGAGGTTTGTTAACATGATTCATCTTCTTTGGGTGTTCCAAATACGGTCTGCATCTACAGATGAGTGAATTTCACTGGGCTCGTTAAAAGGAAGATAACTAAACACATTGAACAATGAAGGGTTAAAAATTTGTGTCAAGAAGAGGTCAGAATAATTCACTGGAATATGTGTCTGACACAGAGGCTAGATAGATGAAGCATGATTTATTTCAAATTAAGGAGACTAAGAGTAATGAAGAGCAAAGAGTTCCTATGAAATACCTGCAGGGTTCCAGAAACACCCTCATTAAAGTGCTTCTAGACTCCAGCTCTCTAGGCCCTCCTCCTTGCTTTTCCTGTCATCCTGTGCACCAATTTATTATCTCTTTTCTTGTATTGTTTTATTTTAAATATATCTTTGGATTTGGACTATTATAGGAAGATTTATAAAATCATTAGAGAAATTTCAGGATATTCTTTAATACCTTCACTAAGATCCACGTCTGGCCTGTAAGATAAGAAAAGCCAGGATAATCCAACCAGAAGGGCCACCACCAGATTCACCACAATCCATGGCTGGAGAATTTGTTTCTCAATGCCTGTTGCCCTAGAGATACAGAAATACTTATTAGAAGTATCTTCATTTTGGCTCAAATGAAGCTATTTTATGAATTTAAGAAAACAGCAGTCCTCTCCTAGAGAAATAACAAGTAAAGCATGAAATAAAATGCAATTTCCCTGCAAAATATATCATATATCAGAAGAACAGGGGTTCAAAGGATATTTGAACTCTAAATTCATTAAAATTAATGGAAAGTTAATGTTTCCCCCAAAATTTCCCTTCCAACTACCAATGGCAATATTCTTCAATTAAGCATCTTTCCTTTCTCTCTAAACCCCATGTCCCTACCCACGCTCTCTAACAAACAAAAAAAATTAAAAAAAAAATCCTGTCCCTCTGGGCTGCAGATCAGCATCTCAGCTGTCCTGTCGGCTTCGTGGTTGCTACTGATATGCACGTTAGCTCCATATTTTCCTTCTACCATTGCTTGGTATTCTGACTCTACTCCAGGTACCCTCTCCCATCTCTGTTCTAAGGCAGTAGGCTCTCTGACTGAGGATAAAGGGCTAAAGCTCCTCCAATCCACCTCATGATGATTCATTTTAGAGATTTAAAATATATTTTTAAAGGAAGACATTTCATTAAAAATGCAGGCTTATATAACACTAACTAAAGGAATACATATCCTCTTTCCACAGTTTTTTGGGGGAAAATGGCCATTATTATTTATAGGTGAAAACATGGAAGAAAAAGAAAAGTTACTCTCACTGTTGCTTTCATTACCACTAACAACTGCTAATGTTACTGTGAATTCTTACCAGAGGCTACCATTAGCAGAAGATGGTGTGTAAAGGTGGATTCTGTCACTTGTCATTTGCTGACTCAGAGATAGTATAAGAGCAGTAAAGTACACTGAGAAAAAGACAAATAAAATTAATAAATTTTAACAACCTGGTTTATCTTGAATTGATAAATTAAGGTAAAAAATAATTTGTACTTTGGTAAATGATGTAGAAAAAAAACTCATTTGACCAATTTCAGTAGATAGCCTTATTTTACTTTTCAAGAACATAGGTACAAAGTATCATTTAGATGATCAATATGATATTATTAGAACCGACAAGAATTTACCAAGGTCCCAAAATTAATTTTATTAATATTTTCATAACTTAGAACAAAATGTGTTCTAAATTATAAAAAGATATAAAATAGTACTTATTACTGAAAAGCTGTAGTAGCTGAATCTGTTTAATGTCAAGAAGAAAATACAAAAACTAAAAATTAAGTACTACAGAACAACAAATTAAGCTTTTATTCAATTATTTACATATTTTTAGTGCTGGAGATTGAATCCAGTGCCTCTTGTACTCAATTATTTACATATTTTTAGTGCTGGAGATTGAATCCAGTGCCTCTTGTACAAATTAAACTTTCAAAAGTTATTTACATGAACCTCTAATGAAAAATAATTCTTTCAAAATTATGCCTGCAGGTTTTTAATTATAAATCCACTAAATATCTATAGGTAATGATTTATAAGAAGCAGTAACACAAAACTTTAAAAATAAAGTTATATTTTCCCTGGTTCAAAATTACAGTATGATTCAAGTATTACACAGTTATCAAGTTGAACTATTACTCACGGAAAGATGCTAAAGCTGTTGGATCCAGGGCAAAAAAATTTCGGATTGCTACTGATGTTTTAGCAAAGTCAATCCTAGAAAATACAAAACTTCTTACTGCAGTGCAGTTGTAAACTTCTTAAAAAAACTATACTTTCTTTTATATCTTCCTTTTGTGTTTTGTTTTGTGGTATTGGTGTTTGAAGGGCTTCATGGTTGCTAGGCACTTTATTACTTGATCTACAACTCAGCCCCAAAACTGTACTTTCTTGACTATAGTTTTTTCTTCTCTATTCTACTGCTACCACATACACTGTCTATTACAAGACTTTAAGTAGCTAAAGTTTAAACTTGCACATGAAAGAATATCTTACTTACAAAAGCTACATAATCCTCTAACTAGAAGATGACTTTTAGGCAACATTCTTTTGGAGCTAAGACATCCAGAAGAAATTAATTTACTCTGCAAAAGTCATTAGCTTCTACTTTTTTCTATTACTATATCATTAGGTTATAAACAGGTAGGTGTTTTAATGGGTTGAATTGTGTTCTCCCAAAAATATGAATGCCTAACCTCTGGTACTTGTGAACATGACCTATTTTGGTATCAGAATATTTACAGATGTAATAAAGCTAAGATAAGGTCACCCTAATTCAATGACTGGCTTTAAAAAGTTAAAGTAATGTTAAAATCCTATAATTTTATTTTGAAAATTGTCAGTCAGTAACATTTTGCTTGACATTTCTTCCTGTAGAAATATTAGAAGGATCTGTCATCACAACAGTCTTACCTTACCTGTCAAAAGCTGAAACTGTACTTAAAGCCAAAAGCAAGTAGAGAAGACTCTGGAATGGATATGCCAAAGTCTTGTATTGCTGCAGAAGGTTGGACAGATTAGACAGTTGATCTCCTGCTAGACCATATATCACAACAATATTCCACACAGCACAGCCAGCCAAGAAGCCGTGAGAAAATAGACCAATCATCCTACATGGAAAGGGGTTTAGTTATACATGGATTACTAAAATAAAAGACTAAAATATATTTTAAAATTAAAATTTAAAATATATTTTAAATCTCTTCACATATTAAGAATAAAATACAACTTGCTATAAAAAGTAAAAACAGGCTTCTTCTTTTTTTTTTTTTAAACTCATGCATGCTAGGCAAGAGACCTACCATTAAGCGACACCTTCATCCTTTTCTTTTTACTTACACTTACCTAATTCCAATGTAATGTTTAAAATATGTATGTGCCTACACACCACTTTAAGTTGTCAATTTTGTTTAAAGTATTGAACAGCCAAAACATTTTTTTTAATTATAAATCCAGTTAACATTTGTCTTAAGAAAAGTCCAATGAAAACAGCCACCTGAAAGCTCGATGCACTGAAATTGCCACATCTCTGGTGGTCCAGGAAGACTTCATGTCCATTGACACATGTATGTTTTCTGTGGTCTTTATCAACTCCGAACGATCAGCAGCCTGGAATCGCCCTGAAAATAAATAACACAATTACCAATGACTAGCAAGAGAGAACTAAGACTGGGTGTGGGGACATGACTCAAGTGGTAGAGCACCTGCCTAGCAAGTGCAAGGCCCTGAGTTCAAACCCACACTACTGCCAAATAAATAAATAAATAAAACCAAGACTGAATTTTGCTATTTTTCTATCTAAAATTTCTCCCTGATTCACTACCTTTCCTTTCCTTTTTTTATTGGTATACCAGTAAAAGCAGCTGACTAGAAGTCACAAAACCCAGGTGCAAGTCCCAGTTCTATACCAACCAACGGTGAGATTCTGGTAAGTCATTAGCCTCTCCAAACCACAGGTTTCTCATTGGTCAAAACTCCAAGATCCCTTAGGGATCTTATTGAATCAGAGTTCTAAAATGATTTATATGAAATCTAAATTGCAAGTTTTAAGGACCAACTTTTTATTTCAGAGGAGTTCTGTACTACCATGCCCAGCTATTGATTGAGTGAGGTCTCACTAACCTTTTCCCCAGGCTGGCCTTGACCTGCAATCTTTCCAGTCTCTGCCTCCCAAATAGCTGGGATTAAAGGCATGAACCTTTGTGCCGTCCTTCTCTTTTACTTTTATTTTTAGAATTTATATCATTACTGCCCTATCACCACAACCACTACCAACTGCAAAACACTGGTAAATACAACAAACTACAAACAAATGGATAGAGATAGGAGGAGATTCTAAAAGTTACCCATAATCCTATAATCTGGAATCAAATAGCATTAACATTTTGGTATTTTTCTTTCAAGTACTAAGCATTTTTCTACAGTTGAGATCAAACTGTATGCGTGTATGTTCATTTGCCATTATTTAGGCTATTTCTACTAAATGCAAAATTCTTTCTAAATATGTAATAGTACGAATTATTTTATTACGTAGATAAAACCATAACTTTCTGAAATTATTCCCCTACTACTGTACATTTAGGTTATTTCCAGTTTTTCCCTCTCATGAATAATAATAGGGTGATTACTAGCTTTGTGTGTAAATTTTTGCCCACAATTTTATTCTATCCTTAATTAGGACTGCCAGAAGTATCATCACACAAATGATATTCTTGTACAATTAATTTTAAAGCAATCATATCCAAAAAGAAATGACTTACGGCTTTTTTCCACAAATACTTTGCCTACAGGCTGGCTAACTCCAGTGGGCACAGTGAACCTAAACTGCTGCTCTGGTGTGCTTTGCCCATCAGTAATTATGTCTTCATCTTCTACCCCAAGCTCATTGGCATACTGTACCTCTGCTGGCCGGGTCTTCCTGTAATCAGGGAAAATGTAAAAAAGACAGATTTATTCTTGAATTTTTGCAGACCCACATCAGAAACCACCAATGAATGTAGTGGGAAGAGCCCTGAATGTAAAGTAAAAAAATATGGTTTTTAACACAAATGGATTTATTAACTCTTAAGACACCGAGCAGCCTATATTTCTATGGGCCTCAGTTTCCTTATCTGGAAAAGGCAGTGACTGAACTACATTTCTCAGACTTAAAATTATAGGATTCTATACATAAACTGATTATTGCTTTATGGTCATTTTCAAATACAAATAATAATGTTATATAATTTCCAAGGTATTTTTCTTCAATTTTTTCTGAGACTTAATTTCCAACGCTAAATACAATACTTACTGTTGAAATAATCAATAATTAAAATTCCATTACCATGGGGAAATAAATCACAGTGGCCTTTCTTATTAGCTTTAATTATTAATATCTTTAATATCTAGTTTTTGCTACTTATATAAAATCTTTATATTACTCTTTTTTACAGAGATGGCTCCTTAGGTTTTTAATTTACAGACAATATTAATTTTTTTCTTTTCTCTGTGTTTCACTCTTTTCAAATCTATCATTACACTGGCTTAACTGATATTTTGTAATACTACTTATCCTAGAGATACACAGATACAGTGTTTGAGAAGACCTAACGAGAAGCTACAATTTGGGAGTTTTAAGTCAAGCAGTAGAGTAACTCTTAGAAAACTCAGAAGGATAAAGTATTACTTTGCCTTCCTTCGAGGTTTTTGAACAACTGCCTCTTCAGCTGGCTCCACATCAATACCATTCTCATTTCGCAATAAAGACGGACTAGAGCTCTTCTTTTGTGTGAAGGAAGTCTCCAACTCTGAAAATAAAATAAATTATGATTTGGAATTAACTATAAGGTAAAAGTAAAAAATGTATAAGACTTTTGTAAGAGAAAAGCACTTTAAGAGTTTTTAATTGAGCCAAAATTTTTTCACTATCTTAGGGGTTTTAAATTTTTAAAATTTTATACCCTTATTCACTCAACATATAATTTGAAATTGCAAAGACAAACAATATGGAAAAAAATGAAGTAAACTTATACCCAGGGCTGAATGACTCTGTGTCTGGTGATTTGCTAGCAGGACTCACAGCACTCAGAAGACATTATAATCACAATTACAGTTTGTTACAGAAAAAGGATATAAAGTATAATCAGCAAAAGGAAAAAGCAGATGGAGCAAATTCCAGATGAGATCAGGTACCCAATTCCAATAGTCCGCCATCAGTGGAGTCAAGCAGGAGGCCCTAATTCCTCTTGCAATGAGTTGTGAAAACACATGGGCCACATTCTCTATCAGACTCAATCACACAGGCTAAGCGCACACCAAAAGTCTAGGTTTCCAGAAGGAAGAACTGTTCAGCATAATTACATTACATCACAAACCCACTGTGAGCAACCCTTATAATTTAGAGGAAGTTTTCTATCAGAGGAGAAACAATTTACCATCCAAGTTTCCAAATGCTAGCTAAATGCTAATCTCACAAGCAGGCCTTTCTAAGGATAGCAATCTCAGCTCTGTTAAGTCTTTTCTGCGCATAGTGTAGGCATTAATTTTAAATGAGTCAACAGTCTTCTACCCTGCTAGCCACTCTTCCTAATACTGGCTCCCTGGAATGCTCTCCACCCCTTCAAATTCCATTTTAATAAAATACTTTCAGCCTACCATGGTAACTTTGAACAGACAAAACAAAAATCAATTTTTAAAATCCTGAAAATCTAGAAAGCTAGACCTGCAAGGCTGAGTGCATAACAGAATGGCAGTACAGGTCTTTATTAGATCAAAATTAACTTGGATGCTGAATTTTCTAAAAATGGTCAAATCATTTTTTTACAAATTATAAAACCAGGTATTAGTACCAACCTCAATTTTCACATTTGTACCCTAACTAAATCACTAAGGTTTATTTAGTGCCAGTGATAAAATACATTGTTTCACTGAGGTAAAGCGGCTTTGAAAATTATTACTGTTTCTTTTGCCTTTTCCTCATACACAGTGCCCCAGGAGCAGTGGCATCCCACTTCAGGCAGTATCAATTTACACTCCTATCAGTGTATGAGTATATTATTCCCATCAACACTGGATTTTCTAATTTGAAAAGAAACATTGCCAATTTGATAGACAAAACAAAAATACACAGAGGGACTCAATAAATGTTGGTTACTGTTTAGTTGTATTATTTAATATAAAATTCACCCTTTTCCCACTAATCTGAAATGTTCATCATTTACTAAATTGTTTTAGTACTGAATTTGTACCTCTTCCCTCATAATCTGTACATATATAATCAAAAAAGATCTGTGAAGTATTCTTGACTGAAGTCATTGGTAGTGTAGTGATAAAAACATTAGGAAAGTAAAAAACAACTATAGGAAGTAGATAGGGGAAAAAAATGAGAGCAAACAGGTCTTTATCATACCCCCAAAATCACAACTGCTATCACAACCTAACCTTGGTGTCCTCACATACCAGGAGGTAACCTCGTCGTCTTCTGTCTCCTCTGAACAGGAGCCTCTGGATGCTCTTTGAGTTCTTTAGTTGGGGGCTCACTGTGTCCAGATGGCCTGGGAACAACAGGCTCAGCAAGGCCTTCTAAAGAAGCACTGGCTACAAGAAAACAAAGTAGTCAAACGTGGGAAACTTGTGGGGGGAAAAGACAACTAGAATGTTTCCTACATAATAATATCTCTTTTTCAGATTTGTGTCTCAGTCTTGAATTTCTCCTCCTCACTTGTAGCTTTGGGCCTTAGTTTAAGAAAAGAAACAAATGTGGGACTAACAAGACGACTGAAGAAGAAAAGAGGAGAAGGGGTTAGAAAGAACAGCAACAGAAAAGGAGGAGGAAAATTGCTTCAAAACGGAACTTTCAAAAAAGGTACAAACATAACAAAAATAGACACTATAGAGAGCTGGCTTAAACTTGCTTATCTCCTGCCTTAAGAATTTTTTATCAGTCAGTCCTTTACTAATAAATTAACACATAATAAGGTCATCATGGATAATTAATCAGAGTTAACAGGTACTTTATAAATCTCATTTGGTCACTGACTTCAACCTGTCCTCTCATGACATCTTTTAACAGAATTTCAACACATTTTGGCAGATTTGAATTTTACTTGACTATATACTACCTTGGTTATCTTCCTTAAAAAAGAAGAAAGAAAAATATCAACAATTGAAAATATGCTTAACATCACTACTATTTAGAGAATGCAAACTCAAGCGGGAGATGTAGATCAGTGGTAAAGTGCTTGCCTACTATGTGCAAGGCCATAGGTTCGATCCCTAGCACTGGAAAAAAAATAAACATTGTTGAGAAATGCAAACTAAAGCTACTTTTCATCAACTAAATTAATACAAACTTTTTAAAGACTGACATCATCCATTATTAAGGATTTAGAAAATGAGACACTCTCAAACTCTCTTGATGGCAAGAAATTTACTAAAACATCCTTGAAGGCAATTTAGTAGAATCTGTCATATCAATAATACACATGCCCTATGCCTAGCAATTCTGCTACTAGCAATCTGTCCAACAGAATTACCTGCTCTTCCCCACCACTCACTACTTTATGTAGAAGAACTGCAACATTGTTTGGACTAAATGCTTTGAAGTAACTTGAATGAACAAAAGACACATGGTACACTGTTATACTACTATGAAGTCACTGTTCAGGGAAACCTAGAATTTTGCACAAGGGAACCAAGGCAGTAATATAGAATCATAGCTTTTATGAAAGAAAAAAAACAGCACATAGCTATAGAAACATTTTAGGATTGTCAGAGTATGAGAGGGTACAAGTAAACAGTGAAGTTAAAGGATCAGCTAGGGCTGGTGAAGTGGCTCAAGTGGTACAGTGCACGCCTAGCAAGTACAAGGCCCTGAGTTCAAGCCAGTACCACCAAAAAAAAGATGTCTTCGTGGTTTCAAGACTGAGTGCTAGGAAAATGGTGGATTTCATTAATAGAAAATTGTAAATGAGAAATAAAAATTGGCTGTTGGAAGTGACGATGGATTCTGGATGTGCTGTGTATGAATTACTCATAGACCATCCAAGATTATCAGTGGGTAACTAAGCCAGAAAGGAGTTCATGGACTTGCTCATTATTGACGTTTTAATACGGGGATGATGTGGCCCTGCCTTCAAACTTCTGCTCTAATGCAGAGATTCTCAACTGAAATGAGGGTTTCAGAACTCTTGTATCTCTAAATCCAGCATTTAGTTCGAGGATTCAGAACCACACATAGCTTAAAATAATTTACATTTTCTGGGAATAAAAGACTTGAAAGAGTCCAAGAATACTGAGGAAGAGCTTAGATGGCACAGTACTCTACTCCATGAATGCTTCCAAATACTCCCAGGGCTGTCCACTTCCTTGTCCCTCACTACCACTCTACTCTGCTTAACTGGTCTTAAAATTCTGCCTTCAACATAGCTCTGACTCAAGGCTGTTGGGGTCTTGTCTCTATCTGATCTGTGATGATTATGCCTGAAATTCTGTTGTGACCCCACAAAACAAAGAACTTCTTACCTAGTGAGTCTTTTGTTCTGGACTTCTTTTTCTTAGGTCGACTAAGTGGAATTTCATCTATATAAAATAGAAATAACATCAACAGAAAAGGCTTCCTAAAATTCAATGCAGAGAACAGTCAGAAAAGAACTTTCAGTAGTAAAAACTTTTCCCACCCTTCCTTGGATTCAGTAAATTTCTACACATTAGGAGAATATGGCAATAAATTGACATGGTCAAAGAGAATCCGTAGGTTGGGAGTGTGGCTCAAGTGGTACAGCACTTGTGCCTAGCAAGCACAAGGTCTTGAGTTCAACCCCTAGTACTGCCAAAGAAAGAGAACCCCATATTGTGTGATACCACTAGGGCACTATTGGTCAGTAATGTTCATAACTGTGATGTAGAAATAGGCTCAACAAATGTTTAAATGATACCCTACACTTTCCAGCCCCTTGCACTTAGGCGTGGTCTATGACTGGTTCTGGCCAATAGGCTGTAAGCAGAAGTGATTGGGTCTATCTATGGCCACCAGAAGGCACCTGATGTTGCTGACCTCAGAAGCTAAGCAAGGGGGGGCCTGATTAGTATTTGCATGGGAGAAATGATCTATGATCTATTGTGAGAATGAACATAATGAAAAAGCCAGCCACTGTGGTAATTCTGAAGCAGCTGCATGTTCAGACTGCAGAATCACAAGACAGGAGTAACCTGGGTCTTACTACATCATTGATGAAGAGGGTAGTAAAAGATAACTGCCCTGATTTGTTGCTGCAGTGGACAAGGCAATTAACCTAATATTATTTCTAATAACACTGTATGATATTAAGTCACTGAGATTTGGGGTGGTTAGTGTTGAATAACCTTGCCTATCTGACTAAATGAGAAAAAGAAAAGTGCAGTCTCTATTACAGAACTAAAAACTAGTCAACAGCTATAGTCTGGTGACTCCATTCAGGGACAAATTGCTTTTATAAAGGTAAGGCAATCTAGTGTTATATATCATCCATAATTTTGAAATGACAGTCATGAAATTATATACTCAGATTTCTTTTTTTTTTTTTTGGTACTAGAGTTTGAATTCAGGGCTGGCTCTTGCTAGGTAGGTGGTCTAGCTCTTGAGCCATACCCTCAGTCCTTTTTTGCTTTTAGTTATTTTGCAGATAGTCTTGTGTTTTTGCCTGGCTGGATTGGATTGCAACCCTTTTACTTATGCCTTTTGTTTACATGGGACCACAGCAGTTATAACCACCCTCAACTTATCAGATGAGATGGGATCTCATCAACTTTATGTCTGGTCTGGCCTCCTGATCTCTGCCTCCCAAGTAGCTGGGATTATAGGCTTGTGCCACCATGCCCAGCCCTACACTCAGATTTTATGGTAAAAGAAAAAAAGTGATTGAATGACACTCTTTTTGTTTTGGGTATGTATTTATTTTTATTGTTGTTGCTTTCTTTGGAGGTATATTTGGTTTGGGGGTTTTTTAGGCAGGGTCTCACTATGTTACCAGCCTTAGCCTTGAGCTCCTGAGCACAAACAATCCTCCTGCCTCAGCCTCCCCAACACTGTAATTGGAAATCTGAGTATATAATTTCATGACTGTCATTTCAAAATTATGGATGATATATAACACTAGATTGCCTTACCTTTATAAAAGCAGTTTATCCCTGAATGGAGTCACCAGACTATAGCTGTTGACTAGTTTTTAGTTCTGTAATAGAGACTGTACTTTTCTTTTTCTCAATTGACACTGTAATTGAAAGGTGTGTGCCACTGCACCCAGCTTTCAAGCTGATTTTTGAACACCACATACCACATTTAAAAAAATTTACACTAACAGGAAACTAACTTACCTTGAATAGCAGCACTTCGTATGACACCAAACAAATTTAATCAGCAGGATGAAGACAAAAAAAGAAATTATTAACAAGAAATCTATTTTATTGTATGATGGAAAACATACTTAACTCACCACAAATCTAAAATAAAACTAGTTTTTACACAATGTCAGCTGGTTTACAAACTAGTTTACTATTTATAAATGGTAAACTGTTAGCATCACTAATAAAATAACTCCATTTTTTTCTGAACCTATATACATGTATCCCCTACTGCCTATTAATAAAGTAGATTGAGCAGATTAGAACTCTTTGTTACCGATTAAAATCAGCTTAGACTCTGAGGAAACTATTCTAGCAAACAAAAGAGGATCAGAATTCTGATAAACAAAACATGAGAACATCCTGAATGGACCCATTAATTTATCAGGTTAACATTCAGGCTTTTAAGTAGAGCATTTCATACAACTAGTGTCCTTATGACTCAAGGAACATTTTTGTCTAAATTTTTAGGAAGCCTTTCCTAAAATTTTCAGGAAGTTTTTCTGAAGCATTATAATTTTTTCAGTGGTATTAGTCAATTTTTCCACTTTATTCATTTTACATCTTTAGCACTCAATAATAAAATTACTGTAAATTATTTTTACCTTGGCACAGGTGGAAGAGCTCGTGGAGGACGCTATTAGGGGTGGGAGAAGAAGAAAACTGTAAGTAAAAGCCCACAGCATCTATCTTTATATATCTCAAAATGTATATTCTTTTAAAAGCTGACAGAAAAAAATGTAATGGATCAGTTATCTTTTGATAACCGTGTTCATCAGTGAAACCTGTAGGTACTGATCTAAATCAGATGGGTGAGTTTAGATTTGTTTCCACCATCTCTACATTCCCTTCTATCTATATCAGGCACTGGTGTAAGCATAAGGGATAGGAACAAAACAGAGATCACTGCTTTGATGGAACTTACATTCTAGTGGTTAAGTATTGGAAGATAATGTTACATATATCATAAAAATACATGTTATATATGATAAAATACGTATTTACATGTGATAAATAAATGTCCACGGTAAGAATGTGGAGTGCTTCATTACTTAGGGAAAGTCTCTCAGATATCTGAGATAGACTTGAATGAGAAAGCAGTCAATATCTCAGGCAATTGGGACCAAATGCTAAGGCCTGAGGGAAGGCTGGGGTTGGAGGATTCCTGGAAAAAGGACAGCAAGGTTACAACACAGGCAGCATTTAGGGCCTTGAAAGACCAAGACTAATGGATTTTGTTTTAATTAAATGGGAAGTCCATGGAGGTTTTAAGCCACAGAGTAACATACTTAAAAAAAAAAAATTGATTCCGGTGGCTGGGAGCAGTGGCTCACACCGGCAATCACAGCTCCTCAGGAAGAAGAGTTCAGGAGGGTGAGGTTTCCAGGCCAAGCCCCGGCAAAACAGTCAGCAACACCCCCATCTTAACAGGCGAACACCTTAACTCCAGCTATGCAAGAAATGCAGGTATAGGGATGGAGAACGAAAGCAGAAGACTGGGGACTTGGCTAAAATGGAAGGGTGCCTGCCTAGCAAGCGCAAGGCCTTGAGTTCTAACCCCAGAACCACCAATTTAAAAACAAACAAAACAAAAAACCACTCTGAATACAGAGTGAAGAATGTATTTTAGGGCTGAGGGGTTGGGACCCTTACATATACTGCTCTACATGAATAAGAAAAATCATGTTTTCCAAGTTCAAAGAGCTTTACAGTTGATTAATAAGCATTCTGGAACCTTCCAAAATAAAATACCAGGACTGCAGGCATGACTCAAGCGGTAGAGCGCCTGCCTTCAAGAGCGAAGCCCTGAGTTCAAACTCAGATACCGCCAAAACAAAATTAATACCAACAAATGCCTAGAAGTCAATTTAATATTTCAAGTGTCTCATGCTGCTTATAGAAGGCGCTGATTCAAAAAGATTAAATTTTAGAAACTCTTGTAGTTTTTACCACTTAGCAATCCCTGGTTCATTCAGCAATCCATTCATTCAAGCAGTCGATTATTAACGCTACAGGAACTATAGATGTCAAATTTATAACTGGAAAAGAATGATGGTCCCAGCAAGCGCTATTGTTCTACAGATGCAGTGAAGTGCGTTCCATCCACGGATCCCGCCCACTCGGTCAGTCCGCATTTCAAAAGTCCCGCAAAAATGACTTTTCACCCACCCAGAAGCCCAATTTCTGACAACCTCTAAGCCCCTCAAAGCAGGACGGCTCAACTGAAAGCAAAGGTCCTACGAGCTCCCGAACTAACTACCGCTCGCTTACCACCTGCTTCTTTCCCATTCCGCTTCCAGCCCGCCTGGCATCCGCGACTCCAGGCGCTGGGGGGCGCCCCCGCCCGCCTATCTGCCCCGCCGCGCGCGCAGGCGCAATGCGTCATCTGGCTGCGCCGGTCAGAAGCTCGCGCCGGAAGTCCCCGGGAAGGAACTGGGTCAAGGGGGGCTCCGGGACCTGGTATGACCTCTTTAGGCCTGCATGTAGGGCCTCGGGATCCGGCGGACGTGCTGAGAAGCACAGACTCCAATGGGCGTAGGCTGCAACTGTGGTTCCCCCTCCCATGGCTTCCTCAGTGACTGCAATGATTGGCTTGGGTCGGGGAGGCGTTAGAGAGACCTTGATAAAAACTGACAGGCAAACAGTGCCCTTTTCTGGGTGGCTAAAAGCCCTCTACTAGCGGAGCCGTCGGAACGAGGGGCTTCCCTGGCAGCCCCCGAGGCCGCCGAGTGGGGCGGGGCACGGCGAGGAGAGGCGTCGTCGTGGCAACGCGGTCCCGGGCGCGGGGCAATTCCTGCCTGGTTCCTGGCTGGTCCGGGCAAAGGGTACCCTACCGGCGCTTTCGTGCATCCCACGAGCTGGCGGTCCCCCACTAATGCCCCCCGCCGATGGCGTCGGCCCCACTCCGGCTGCAGCTGCTGCAAAGGGCATCCATCCCCTTCCCCCTGACCCGCCACCCCTGGGGCCGACGCGCCCCTCGCCGCTCACCGGGTGGCTCTCCTCCAGACCAGGCCCCGAGTCCGTCCGCATGGTGCTGGCCCTGCCGGCTTCCTCGGCGCAACCGCCGCGGGCCCGAGCCCCACTGCCGCGACGCCGCGGCCTCCGGGGCCTGCAGGAGGCGGGGGTTGCGAGGCCGCCGCCCCGGGCCGGGTCCCCGCCGCCCGTCCGTGCACTCCCGCGCGCGCCGGCATTTCCAGGCGCATTCACTCGCCAGTCCCAGGTCCAGGTTCCGTGCGGGCCTGGGTGTGTATTGGTACAGGCAATTGTCACATTTTCTCCGACTGCTTACTGTCCATTCTGAAACTGCAAAGCAAGTTCGGGTTTCCTTTTTCACAAAGACCTAACCCAAGTTCACCTAAGTATCAAAACCTCTTAATTTTCTTTGTGTGTTTTCTTAAGAAAGATGATTTGTTCAATTTGAGAAAGAACTACAAATATTTTGAATCATGCTTTCCGTTTTATAATTAAGATGGGGAGGATGGAGGGAAGATGTGGCTATAGAGATAGTGATGCAGAAGATGAACAGGTGTGCAGGGCAGGGAGAGCACCTGCGAGGCTCAGGTCTAGGGAAAGAGAAACGCGAGGGGGTAAATCATCTCGGAGTTTGCCCATGTGCAGGTGTCCAGGACTAGTCCATTGTCCTTTCCCGACACTGACATACGTATAGATACTTTTAGAAAAACTGATTGCTACACCTGCGATCAGAAGAATAATTTTTTGCTTGTAGCCTAATCTGTAAATGACAGTGTCGTTTCTGTCTGTTTTGACGTTAAATATGGAACATGTATGTTAACCTTTTTTACTGAGTTGGACAAAAAGGCACATTTTTTGTTTTTATTGTGCTGGGTGGGGGTACATTGTGGCATTTACAGAAGTTCTTACTATATATCAAATCATATTTGAATTCACCATCTCCATCATTCTCTTTATCTCCCCTCCCCATTCCTGGAATAGTTTCAACTGGTATCATTATTCCATTTACTTACATGTGTACACAGTATTTGTACTACATTCACCCTCCCACACTCTTTCCCTACTTCTTCTCCCCATCCCACAAACATCAACCTCCCAACCCCCCGCAGGGTCAGCTGATGTTGAAAAAAAAAATGACGTTTGTTTAAGAAAGCTACACAGGAGTTTCCTTGTGACATTTCCATGTATGTATGTATTATAACCGAATTGGTTAACAAGGCATATTTTGTTTAAAAAAATGAAAAACAGAAACACGTTTTATAAAGTAAACACGGTTTCAGAAATGCAGTACTGCTTTATTTAGGAAAGCTCTGAAACGTTCTCAAATTCAGTGACTTAGCGTTCATATTCCTACCACTGATTCATACAAGGTAAAGGAAAAAAATCTTGCCTAAAAGTCAAATAGGTAACTCTATGTAACTGCAATATCCTTTATAACCATACAATTTTCAAAAGAATATTTTTCAAATAATAACACAACAGCACTTTACAAGTTGCACACAGTATAATGTGTCAAACAAATAATGTTTTTAAATTGCAGCTGTTATTCCAGATGTCTGTAATCAGGGTACAATATTTAAAAATGTTGATTTTATGCAAGAGGACTGATTAAGACATGGAATCAGAAGAAATCCATGTTGCTGGTACCCACTGTGGCTCTTCTTGAGCATTTTGTATGGCAGACAACAAGCGGGCACATGCATCTTGCAAGTGGTCATTCACAATCACGTGATCAAAAAATTGGCCAAACTGAGTCTCCATTTTTTGAGCTAAATCTTCCATTTCTTGAAGGTCTTCATCCTTCATGAGAAAGAAAATGTATGGGTTGCACAAACTCAATGAGACAAAGAAATGACACGCAGTTTGTTGTGCGGTCATATCCAGTTGTGAAGCTATTTATAAAAAATATTAGGTAAAATAAATGTCCCCCTTTTTTTGTTTTTCAGGTTTGTGTGTGTGTGTGTGTGTTGTTGTTGTTGTTTTGAGACAGTTTCTCTATGTAGCCCAAGCTGGAATTTGTGATTCCTCCTGCCTCAGCCTCTGACTGCTGGGGTTACAGGTGTGTACCACAAAGCCCAGGTAACTGGCATCTATTTTAAACTACAAAAACTTATATTTCAGCCTTTAGTCTTTTTCTCAATCTCTCTGGTCAATTTTGTAAAGTTTAGTATAATTTGTAGATAGATTACTCCCCTCTACTTCCCAGATTGTACTCCATAATCTATACACTTGAGGCTCTCAACGATAACAGCCATTAAAATCAAAGAAAAATTACCTTTAAATAAAACTTAAACATAAATTTCAAATGAGCATTATTCTGATTAAGAATGACATTATTTTGCAGACACAAAATGGTCACCTTTAACATGAGGATGGTATGACCTAGTTCTATTGATTAGGCATACCGAAATTATCCTTGGCTTTATGATGACTTTACCTATAACATCTGCTCTACTGCTGTGAATTGTACATTCAGAGAAGTCATGTGGCCTTCACTTGTCACTAGTGGCATTTAAATCATTGCTATGTCTTATTTGTCCATGATGATTATAAGTACTTGTTTCCAATGCAATCTTAACACACATATAAATTCAAGCATTGAAAACTTGTGACAATTACTCCTTTACAGGGTGACCATATACATGATCCAGAAATTATTAATTTGCTTAGACTTCCACAAAAGTAAGAACACAATTTTAAATACCCCAGAGACTCAGAGAATACATTCCATGGAACCCCTATCCAAAGGCAAACAGGAGAAGCAGACTTTCATAGTTACTAATAAACATGAGATCAAAGGTAGCAAGAGATAAAGGATAATATAAAGACATCTCATTCTTTGCTTTGGCAACACATGATAATATTGGAACAGTGGGAGGTTAACAGTGGACCCTGTGCAAGGATGGCATGCAAATTGTGAAGCAAAATTTCAATTTGCAACATGAAATCTGGTTATTGGTTTCACAAACAATGTAAATATACTCAACATTATTGACCTGTGCACTTAAAAATGATTAAGATGGTAGGTTTTACATTATGTTCTTCTACACACACACCCCACATGCACAAAAAAGTGGCTGAATATCTGGGTCTGGGTGATGAATTATCTTGGCACATACATAATAAAAATTCACTGAGCTGTACACTTAAGATTTATATGCCTTACAGAGTCATGTTATGATTCAAATACCTAAAGTGAATTTAATGTAAACACACACCAGGAAAAAAATCTCCTAGAATGAATTCACTTACCCATTCTAGCTTGGCCCTCTATTGTTATCATTATCAGTAAAAAACATTTTTGTGAGATATCTTATATTACAGTGAGATATATTTCACTAGAGTATTTTAAATGTTCAAGTAAAAATAAGGGAATCTTTTAAAATACAAATAGGTTCATACAACCAATTTTTGTTGGCTTTGCAAACTTGACTTGAGGATTTTTATTTTAAAATAGACCCCT